ACTCCCCTGAGCTTGCAGGACTGCATCCATACATCTCTGCAGTGACTCTTATCAATAAAGTCATCTGGAATGGCAAAGAAAGCATTTTTGCAGGACTCCCAGAGTTCATCGGGATTTTTTGTATTCATTTTCAATGCCTCCTCCATCATCTTACCCCAAACATGCTCAATAATGTTCATTTCTGGTGACTGGGCTGACCAATCCTGGAGCTCCTTGACCTTCTTTGCTTTCAGGAACTTTGGAGTAAGGGCTGAAGTATGAGAAGGAGTGCTATCCTGCTGAAGAATTTGCTCTCTCCTGTGATTTGTAATATAATTGGCAGCACAAATATCCTAATCAGACTATTGATGTTGACATCCACTGTGCAGATCTATTGCACGCCCCCATACTGAGTGTAACCCCAAACCATGATATTTCCTTCACCAAACTTGACTGATTTTTGTGAGTCCATATGAGTTCCACTAGGTCTACTGCAGTGTTTGATTTGTTGCTCGAACAGCTAGGATTAACGACAAGACTTTTGTCAGTGCAGATGCTAAGTCATTTTCTTATTCTTGTTTCATATATAATCATAGACCATAAAACCAGTCATAGGTGTAATTTTTAAATTGAGATGTATGCATTATCTGAAATATATATAGGAATAGATAATATTTCCATTGATGTATGATTTGTTAGGATAGGGCAGAATTTTGCAGAGATGATACTATTGAAAATATTTAAATATTTAGAAAATCGCCTTTAAAGTTGACCAATTTAAGTTCTTAGCAATGCACATCACCAATCAAAACTCAGGTTTTTATATATCTATGGTATGAAAAAAAGGGTCTTTATGGAACATAATCTTCACTTAATGTCCAAATGTTTTTGGTATAAAATATAAATCAATAACTTTGACCCATACACAATTTTTAGCTATTTTCTTATGTTTATAGCTATTTTATCTTATATAAAATATACTAGAGCAACATAAGACTCCAGGGTCACATATTGGACCGGATAAATGTAAGTTATAGTAATAATAATAATAATAATAAGTAATTTGCAGTGCAACAGCTCAACTGGAGTTTTATTTCTAGTAGAAGAACTACACCATAAACCGGTTTTCAAGTCTCTAGAGGCGGCTGAGTGTTCAAGGCGATGATCTGCTAAACCGTTAATGTGTCTTCCTGAGAGACTACAGCTCATGGTTGTTATAAATGGAGTTGTCAAAGGTTTATTTCCAAATGTTTTCAAAGATGTCAAAAAGCACTCTCTTCCCTCCCGTGATAATGCGTCTATACAATAAATCACCCTGCATTTATCTGTCACTTAATTGCTCTGGTTGCAGATTATACACCAAACCACTTTGCCACGCTAGAATCCATTTTAAAAACAAAACACATACTCTATCCATCTTGCAAATACTATGTCTGTAAACATTGGTAGCAATTAAAGCGCGGAACTGTTCTAGATTTAGTGCTGGAAGCAGGTGTTCAATTCAGTCAAGAAGTCAGGTTATAAATGTATAGAAGCAATGTGAACATTAATGGTTCTGCATTTCCACAAGTAAAATATAAATGCCTCATGGACTGACTGTTAGCACCAGCTCAGGGAATGTTTAACATACTCTCTAATTAAATTCTTTTAAGTGTATGGCAGCTGTTGTAACCTCATTAGCTTTCTTAAATGTATATCAGTAGAGTAACATGTTATGAATGCAACTAAATGATCATTCATTAATTATAATAGCCTTTTTTAATTGCTGCTTATCAAACTGTACAAACATGACCCCAGCTATAAGCCAATCACACTCAAATGTTTTTAGTGCCAAAAAGTAAAATAAAATGTGCATATGCAATAAGCCTCGTCTACATTACTTGACAATCACAGTACTGAAATGCCAGCTATAGCAAACAAAAACTACCTCCAGTGTTAATTTTGATCATGGCTTTTTTTTAAAGAAAATATGGGGAATGTTTTTTTTCTTAGTTTGACTGCGGTAGTAGCCACTCCGCATGACTGTGCCTCAACTTCTGGTGCTGGCAGAAATTTCAGTTGTAATTTATTGGCTTTCATGAACATTCAGCAATTAAAGACTACAGGTTTTTTTTTGCTTGGCTTTTGTGTGTCTGTGCAGTTTTGATGCAGCATTAAATATTTTGTACTTAAATTCCACCATGAGGTTTGCTGCATATTTGACTATATAAAATCCTATGTACTAAAGTTAAAGGCTGGAAACTTTATAAATTACTTCAACTAGTCAGCAGTTGTGGGTAAATGATTAAATCTGTGTTATGCAATCAGGTTTCAGAGCACTAACCTGGTGTAATGTTTAATTCACTAAATGTTGTTAATAACATAAAAGAAAATGTCATTTTAATTTGACAATGTATTTTAGATCAGTATGGTCAAAAAATAATCAAATAGATCTGATCAACAGCTTAGATCAGTAGTAATGTGAAAAAAATCTAATGATTACACTGTATCCTGCTTAAATTACTTTATTTTACTTCGGCCTAGTCTCTACAGAGGTTGCAACAGCGAAATGAACCACTAACTATTACAGCATATGTTTCACACAGTGAATGCCCTTCCAGTGGCAACCCTGTTTTTGGAAACACCCACACTCATACACTCCAATTTAGTTTATTCAAAAAGCGCATGTCTTTGGACTGTGGGGGGAAACTGGAGCAGTCAGAGAAAACCCATGCAAACACAGGGAGAACATGCAAAGTCCACACAGAAATGCTAACTGGGCCAGCCGGGACTCGAACCAGTGACCTTCTTGCTGTGAGATGACAGTTCTAACCACTAAGCCACTCTGATTAAATTGCTTAAAATGTGGAATACAGATGTGTCATTTTGTAAATTAAAATTTGTATTGGACTGCAATTTGTAATCTACCCAACACAACCATTAAAATGTATGTTTTACTTAACACACTCCTTGACAAAGAACAGAGTGGTGCGATGAGTGAACAGACCATTAATACATTTCCCAGCTGAGAGTAATGGTTATTTTTAGCGAAGAATTTAATTTGAATAATCACATTTTCTTCTGACTGAAGTCAGTCTTGTGGTATGTTTTGTTACGCAGTTCTTTGATCTGGTTTTCTGGGACAAGAAAGGTTTTCTAAGAGAACAAAGACTTTGCTGGAAGCTGGAACATGGTGATAGATGTTCAGAAGATGTTCAGAAATGGACATCTTTATGCTGTTCGTTGATCTAAATCTGAATTATTGATAATAATTCCATACAAAATCTGCTTTTTGTCTATCTCAACTATCAACATGTTAAATCCCCAAGTTCTCCTCTGACATTTGCATCACAAATGAGTTCTGTTAGTCACAAAGGATATAGGTCTCTGAATCACATCAGCTAATTAACTGGGGTGCTTCATGGTTCGGTTTAGGGCTGCACAATGTATAGTTTCAGCATTGAGGTGCGCATCCACAATACTCACATCGCAAAGATATGCAGTGTCCAGTCTGAATTAGTTTTTAGTTTGTTTGTTTTTTTTTGTTTGTTTTTATTGCAATAACAACAGGCAATTACAACAGATCACATTAAAAATGATAAAAAAAATTAATGAAGAATGTTGAAGCACATGTTTTTGCAAGTTTTAACTGCTTGTTATGAGACTGTAATGGTTTTAAATTTGGCTAACATTGAGTATATTTACATTTATGTATAAAGAAAACTCTCCAATAAATGAAGGTTCATACAAAAGGTTGAATTAAGGAATTGTTTTACTTTCATGTAAAATCCCAAAATAATATGTCTATAGCTTAAATAAAAATCACCACAAACCTTTTCAACAATTCGAGGATTCTCATCAGACCAGAAAGATTTAACAAAGGGACATTCCTAAAACAAGTGGGCAACAGACAATCACAGAAAGAGCAAGAGACGTCAGTGTCATTTTTGAATTTCTGTACAAATTTTGTAACTGGGGGAGTGACCAAACATACGACTATTTAACACCATTTTTACTTATTTCTTCTGACTGTGAAAACTAAATATTTTTACTTGGTCTGAAAATGTTATTGATATTTGGACTAGAAACAAGAGTTAAAAAAAGCTTTTTGCATTGTGATTAATACATTTCTGTATCTAAATACTATTAGACTCTACAGCAAATGATCAAATAGAGCTGTTCAAACAATCTCCTGAAACTGTATTCATATCGCGATAATTATCGCAGAAAAATAAAATATCGCAATATCAGATCTTTCCAATTTCGCACAGCCCTAGTTCAGTTCTATGTCCTCTTTTCTTTGTAAACATGGTACAATTTGGCCCCAGTCTTTAGGGCACGTGAATTCTACTATCACTGATTTATTTATTTGAATAAAATGACTGAAACACACTGGTTTGTAGTTTACATTGTGTAGCAGTTACACATGACACATGAATGATATATACTTGTGTACAGATTTCATCAATGGATGCAAACAGAGAGACCCGTTCTGTAACCCTAACCTTGCAGCTGGATCCTTTCATTATTTACACTTGAAATGATAATGCCACCTATATTTGTGCACAGCTGCGCCATCTGCATTTCAACAACATTCGTGTCACACAAAACGGAAAGGGATCTATTGTATATTGCATTCATTAGGATTGGCAATGATCCATGATCAGGCCACTGAAATATTCTGGCTGACCCCCAAACCTCTCAAGAGCTCAGTTAATAATACTCCATCCGTCCAAAAAGCAAGCTTGAGGACTGATTTGTTAATGCCAGTTATTTCCCTGCAATTCATTTTCTCCCTGAAAGACTAATGTTTTGTGTTAGAGCTCTGACATCTGTAACTTTTACCCTATTTAAACTCAAACATGCATTTTTGCTTTTCTATGTAAGGTCTTTTTAAAAAGAAACACAAAAATCATGGGATGCATTTACACCAAACAGGAGAGCACGCAGAAGGTGTTCAGCAGCTGGTTACACGTCTTGTTATGCCCTCCAGCCACTCTGGCACACTGGAAACAAACAAAAATGAGGCTGATGCTGAAAGATTATGACAGATTATAATTTATTGAATGATCAACTCTTAGAACAGACAACAGAGACACTTTACAATGCTGGAGTAAAAGGGAGCACTTTGTTGCAATATAGAGAAGAAAAGGTAAACCAAATAATTCCCACTTTTCATCCAAGCAAAATGTGTGCAAAATACAAAATGGTTTAAGCGCTTTTAAGCCTTGCCAAAGAATAAAGTTGTAATGTCATTGTTTCCATCCACTCCACGATTAAGATATTCAACTCAAATTTCTTAATCTGTAACGTTGAAATGCAAATTAGTCTAAAAGTGCAAAGAATTACTGCAGGTAACTTTGGCACCACTATATTTTACAACAAAAAATTAAGGCAGCAGTTCTATTTTTTGTTGTTTAAGCTATTTGAAAAGATGAACCAGAATTTAAGGGGAAAGCCTCATTGAGATCTAGCAGTGATGAATGTCAAACTCTTTCCAGATGGTTGCTTAATGATTCAGTAAATGGATTTTCCTTAAAGTGGAATCATCTTTTAAATCATTCACCCAGTAACAAAAATATCATTAAGAGCATTCATCAAAATCTTACAAATCTGCTCTCTATGCAGTGTTCGGATGAAGCATTTGTTGATGCATGCATAAAGAATAACGAGTACAAAACACATCTGGGAATCTTTTTACAAATAGGCCCTTGAATCTGACTTACAAAAATCTTTATCTGCAAACAAAATGAAATTATGAATTTCTGAATGGAAGTGCTGAGATAGTAAGTTATTCTGCGTTTGTTATTTCTAACAATACCTATAGTCAGCCATTAAAAATTCTATGGAAACAACTAGATATTTGCTTTGTGTGAATGAAGGAAAACTCCAATACACATCTCCTAACCGGATAAAATTTCACTCTCGTAGTAGGACGCCTATGTACACACGCTCTCTCTCTTAAATAAAGCGCTTTTGGCTCATTCTCGACAGAAAACATACTCTGTGTAGCTTGTCCAGACTTTGTCCTCGTTTGGGTCGCTGCTGGAGTACGCGCACGTGCCCGTGGAGCTGCACGCGACCATCTGGAAGCCAAACTCTGACAGTTTGTCAAACGCCTGTTCGAGGAAATTATATTTCAGATAATAGCGCGAGGTGTACCTCTCTGGGGGCCGGTCCGGGTCTCTGCTTTCGTTCAATGTGTCTCCAAACACCTCCTTTGCCAAAGAAGTCTTCCCGCAAACCGTGATCCGCGCGACCCGCCTGAATTTGGCGTCTGTCTGTATGTCTCTTCCCATTGTGTACGAGCCTCGGTAACCAACCGTGATGTACCCAGACTTTCTGGACTCCAGGGAGGGAGAATGTGCGCTGCTGGCGACGGACAGAGTGCGAGAAGTCTCGGGTCCGACCACCGGAGTCGCGCTCGCGCTCGGCTCCTCCGAGTCACTCTGGCAGATCTCGTCAGTGATGGAGTTGTCTTTACTCATTTTGGGACTCAAGAGCTTGCTAAGGTCCCGCAGCTGAAAGAACTCAGCCTCTCTCTGTAATCTACTTTTCTCTGGAAAATAGTCCGGCAGAACCAGGTTTAGATCCCGTAGGTAGTCTAAAATGTAGCGGAAAAGAAAGCCGTCCCGGTCCAGAAAAAAACGACCTTTGCTGTCCCGCGCCAGCTCAGCCGGTGTTTTCTTACTGAACATGTTCCACAGCAGAGAGTCCGGTACGGCTATTAAAGTGGTGTGCCGCGTTACATACACCTGTCCTCCCACGTTAAGTTCGATAATGACGGAAAACGGAGACGCGGAATCAGCGCCGTTTGATATTCCACACTCGGGGTCTGCCAAAGCCATCGCGTCTCCTCTGCTGAAGATGCCAGTCACTCGCGATTGTGCGCAAAGGGCTTCCCAAAGGCTCGGGATAAGGGCAGATGTTTGTTTAAATAGGCTGTGGGAGGGGAGAGAAGACGAACGATGTTAACGCTTTATTGACAAAATGAGACCAACAGCTTGCATGCCTCCTGCTGTCAAAGATCGGATGCTAGTGTATCTCATGCAACAAAAGTGTAAGGATGCTAAATGTAGATAATAAGATGGCGGAAAAATATACGGATAAACGAAATATCCCCCATATCTATCACGCAGTGGGTGAAAACAGTTAATTACAGAATTGACATTTCTCTTGTGCCTTTTGATAAAGAGAATAGCGACATCTGGTGGTAGAACGTGAGAGTTGCGGCTACCAAACTTCACAGTTAAACGTAGGTTACTAGTAAAACGCTTATAAAAGTAATTTATTAACAGGATTAGCAAACGTTTAGATCTGATACAACATGAGCCTGAGTGACTGCTTTTATTACAGGCTTTTATCAACCAGCTACCAATCTGCCGTCAAGTTGGCCAGCAAACGTTTGTATTCATTTTAAATCAATTCACTTTTATTGTCAAATCAGCAGCAGCGGCACATGTAGGCTACTATGACCAAGGGCGGATTTAACCATTAAGCAAGGTAAGCGGCCGCTTACCTTGTTGAATTTAAACAAACACATTAAATTAAGTATTGTTAATTTGTTAATAGTAAACTTAATTTGTTTGTTTAAATTTAGCTAAAATTAATTTTTACAACCACTTAACTTAAAAAAAAATTGTAAATCCAAGGAATCATATTTGAATATTTTTTTTCAGTGTAGTTTATATGAAATTTTTATTTGTAAATTAATTTTAAGAAAACTAATTAATTTAAAAGTTTGACAAGGTGCTTAGCATTTTGTTATTTTTGTTTTGCATCAAAACAAAATGTAGAAAAGCAGTGATATAAGAAAAAAAAGTGCAAAATAAATAAATTAAAAATAAATGAAAATAGCAAAGATGCATTTTATAACTTTTGGGCCCCATGGCGGGAATTGCTTAGGGCCCCCAATTCACTAAATCCACCACTGCTGATGAGTAAAAAGCCCAAGTGCTGGCTCCAGACATTGCAAAATACTACAACATACTTCAAAAAAAAAAACAATATACTATAAGCAGTGTTGACAGATACGTAAAAGACAATAAATTCATTAGGTAAAGCACACAAATGGGCACAGATGGACGAGTACACAGTCAAAAAGGTGTACACATAGTGTGTCATTGTTGTAGGCAATATTGTTTTAAGGTAAGGATTGGGTAAAGTGCAGTGCATGCTACATTTTAATGGTATGCAGTGAGGGGTATGGAAAAAGTTTGTGCGAGGTGTGTTGTGTTCATCAGCCTAATTGTGGGTAGAAGCTTTCCTTCAGTTGGCTGCATGACCAGAAGTAGAAAAGTTCAGAAAAGTCTGTGGCTTGGGTGTGCGTTGCTGATGATTCTCTTGTCTTACCTCATGCACTGCCTGGTGTAGATCTCCCAGAAGGAGGGAGGCTCAGCTCCTACAACAAGGCCTGCCGTTTGCATTTATTTATTTATTTGTTTAACAATAATTATTTTTATGGCATTTTACTGAGTAATGAGCATTTGTAACGTTACCACACCATGAAAAGTTGAAACTACCTAATATTTAAGAGTAAAAACTTTTCTTCAGAACCACATGGTCACTATTTAAGGCCGATATAATTTCAGAATGATTAATTGACCTTGTTACACTGAATGTATGACTTCTAACAAGCTGCATATGTTTCCTGGATACTTCGATCAATCACAACATTTTTAAAAAGTACCTTTGCGATTCACAGGTGTTTTTCTTTTTTTACACTTCTGAAGTGTATACCAGGACTATGATCTGTGCTCCTACAAATTTGAGTGGTGACAATTTAATTCTACAGATTAACAAAGCAACATTTAGGCAGCCTACTGACTTTTTAGTAGCAATATTCAAAATATTGTATGATAAAATAGTGCTCAGCATAATTGAGTACACCCCATTTAGAAAATGAATATTTTATCCTTTTTTTTTTGTGAATATAGGCAATGTATTTTGGTGTATTTAAACAAAACTGATTTATTAAACAGATATATTTAATAAAATAATATTTTTGTTCACCAAACAATTTTGAAATTGAAAGATAACACAATTAAATTCAAACAAAATATTGCAAAAAAATGCAAAATTTCAACTAAACTTTCATTTTTTGCTTCTCTTGATTTTTCCTCTTTTTTATGTGTATTTATTATTTTTCCATAACATATAAATTTGCCTTTACTAGTTTCTGGACTGTTAGAAGTTATTTTGTTAGATAAGCTCCAGATTTGGCTTCAGTACTGACTAATCTAATGTATATGCACAAATATAATATTGTACTGCTTCCTATTAAACATCTGAATTTAAAAGATAGATTTGTGAGGGGTGGTCTTATGCTGAGCACTGTAGATAATAAAATGTAAAAAAATAATAATAATAATTAAAAAACTGTAAAATAGCGCCACACAAAAATACTATAGCTTATACGAACCATTTTGAAACCTAATTTACATAATCAGAAATGCACAATGTGTTGTTTCTAACTACCAAAAATGTCAATAAAAGTTGCTTTGTTATTCTTTTCAACATAATATTTGTGAGTAAAGGGTCAAGGCTTCATAAATTGAAGCATAAATACACAGAAAACACCAATGAATCACAAACTCTGGGAAACTCAATGAAGTTAATTCAATGAAACATTTTACAGTTTAAGACAACAACACTTATTTGTACATTCCAAGAAAGCCAATTTATGTTTATTTAAGAATATAACATAAATGTATGAACATTACACTGAATCACAATTTTTACTATATGACATATTTGTATGTTTTATTTTCAACCAGCCAAATGCTGCAGCAGAAATCCAGCTTCATCAGACCAGAAAAAACTTCTAATTTTATATGATTTCTTTGCTGAGTGTCGTTGCTGTGCTCTTGTGCTTCTGCTGCTGGAGCTCATCTGCTTCACAGTTCACTGTTGTGCCTCCTTTCTAACAAGAAGTTATTTGAGCTACTTTCTTTCAGCTTGACTTTTGTCTGGTCATTCTTCTCTGACCTCTAAATTTCACAAGACATTTTTTGCCTTCAGCACTTCCTCTCACACTGGATATCATTTCTTTCACAGATTATTGTCTGTAAACCCTAGAAATCGTTCTGTGCAGGAGTTTCAGTTTCTGAATTACTCAGAGCAGCCAATCTGGCCACACTGGTGGTTCTTCCCTATTTTGATGATCTGTTTTGAACTTCAGCAGATAATCTTGGACATTCCATGATCCCTAAAAGAGAACTGAGCTGGCGCCTTGCTATGTGTATATTGTTTGGATAGACAATTGTTTTAACCATCATTTGTTAATCAGGTGTAACTGGAGCTGGATGAGTGTATGTTCACCCAAAAATGACAGTTTTGTCATCATTTACTCATTCTTGATTTGTTCCAAACTAGTTGATGTTTTTATTTTTTTTATTTTTGTTGTGTTGTTCTGTTGAACACGAGAAAGTATGTTGTAGAATGCTGGAAACCGAAAGCCATTGACTTCCATAGTATTTGTTTTTCCTATGGAAGTCAATAGGTATGTTTCCACCTAATTTGCTCATCAAATAAGTCATGTGATTTTGTTTAACAGATCACGTGATAACAAAATATAGGCATGATGCATCAGCATTAATGGACTAGCCAGTGGACAGACCGCATTGTAAGACATCTGAAATTTAGTTTTGGTCATTATAAAATCCCTCAATCAATGTCTCTCATCAAAGTGATTGAGTATTATACCTCCTGGTCTTGAGTGCTCCACAAAAGTGGTCTCACGCTTCCTACGGTTTCCATTATTCTTTAGAAAATATTTTGTACTTAACAGAAAAAAAGAAGAAAATAAACTCAAGTCAAGAGTGAGTAAATTATGACAGAATTTTCATTTTCTTTTGGTGAATCACTTTAATTCTTAAGCATCGATCACACATTGTGCACCTGAACACAGTCCTAGAGTGTATTTTACACCCAGTTCAGTTTAAGAGTACATCAGTAAGCTGAAATGAGTTGAGTTCATCAAAAATATCAGTCTTAACTGATATTTAAATAATACTATTAAATAATACTGTATAAATAATACTATTTATTGATACAGTTTTATTGTGCAGCATCAAAATACATAATTTAATCTTTAAACATTTCCCTTTGAACAAACATGATATGCAAAACTTAAACTATTTTAAACTTTTGATTTTTACATTAAATGCATTGAATCATCTATTTCTTTCAGTTTACAGGAGCCAAACTCATGTGACTATGAGGAAGCAATGACCAACAGAACGTACTCTTTAAACTCTAATACGCAATAGCAAAAGAATTTCCAGATTTCACAAATGCTGGAGAGATACACTTACTGCAGATTCAAGAGATCAGGAAATGTGAGCTCATATTCTAATATGATATCAACTGATTATACAGTCCAAAGCATCTAAGCAGAATACGTTTAATGTAAGGACAGTGAACTTCTGGAGTTTACAACCTCTACATAGATTTATGTAAAATACATTAAAAAAATTATATTACATATAGATGTGTAAAAAAACACATCCTGAGATCCTCAGTTTCTAGATTCACGATTTATTGTTTAAAAAAAACATCTGTTTTGTTCAGAAAACTGCTGATGACATTTCTTATAAATTTAAAAGTGAAAATCTTGTCATAGCAAATGTCAATTTTTTTTTTAAATGTTTTCAGACAACACAAGAACAGTTCGTAACTTCAAAGTTGTTAAGAAAGCAATATTTGCAGTTATAATCTAATTTAATCACATGAATTGAAAATATTTGTAATTCTGGCCAACTCTCATTTTATGCAAAATGAAAACACTTTATACGAAATTCAGAAGCAATGTCACACTGAAAAACATCATAGGATTACTTAGACATGACAATGTTTTTAGTAAATTGTGACTTATTAAACTGAGTTAGCATGTTCTAATAAATTAGAAAAGTTACACAAACTGTGTTAAGTCAGTTTAATGTAATGTAAGTTCAAATGACTCATGAGGTTAGTTTGATTCAGCTTAAAAATTTAAGGCAACGAGTTTTTTTTTGTTTTGTTTTTTTTTTACCGTGCATCAGATCTTTAAAGGATGAAACACATGTGAAAGAAATTTTTTGATTAATATATACACACACACTACCAGTCAAAAGTTTGGGGTCAGGTTTTTTTTCTTCTTTTTTTTTTTTTAAAGAAAATGGTTCTGTTCATTAAGGCGGCATTTATTAAATGTAAAAACATTTTAAATTGTGAAATATTTATTAAAATATTTATTAAAATAACTGCTTTCTTATTGTATGTAGTTTCAAATAAAATTATTACTCCCGTCATTTTTGCTTCTATTACTATTACTATGAATATTAGTGATTTCTGAAGGATCATGTGACTCTGAACACTGGAGTAATGAAGCTGAAAATTCATTTTAAAATCACAGGAATAAATGATTAAATTAAATGATAAACTAATTCTGAACAGTTATTTCATACTGCAAAAACATTTCAGTTTAACAGTTTGTACTGTAGTTTTGATGAAACAAATGCAGCCTTGGTGAGCAGGAGAAGCTTATTTTAAAACATTTTAAAATCCTACTGACCCTAAACTAGTATATACATATACTAGTTTATTCAAAACCATTTCTTTTACATCTTACTAAATATTCAGTGTAAAGAATATTGCAAAATCAAAACATATGATTAAAAATGTCCTTCCAATGTGAACTGTGTGAGCTGCGCATGCGTGATACCATAAGGTAGTCACAAATTGTGAAATACTGCTCTTCACGCTATTGTGGTTTAGTAACACTGGAAAGTTGGTGGTTAGTGAGGTCGTTCTGCCAGTAGAGATGTTAGTATATAAGGCTGTCAAACTGGTCAAATCAAGATTCAGAGCTCGCACAATGATCCGAAAGGTATTCACTTTTACCTAACATTTCATTCACTATTTATTTGCAACTAAAATGTCTTTTGTCCAGCAGCCTTATTTATTTAGTTATGTATTGTCTGACTCATTGTATTGTTCTTTGCTACATTTAAAATTCAAATGCACCTAAAAAGTGTTCACTGCAAAAAAATGCTTTTCTTACTTAGAATTCTTGTCTTGTTTCTAGTCCAAATATCTAAAAGTTCTTATATCAAGAAGCATTTTCTTAACAAGCAAAACATATTTTAGGAAATAATATGTCAAAAATGTTCCTTAAATCAAGCTAAATAATCTGCCAATAGGGTAAGCAAAATAATCTTATCACAAATCAAAAAACAAGATTATTTTGCTTACCCCATTGGCAGATTATTTTGCTTGATTTGAGGAAAAATGTACTTAATTTTGGCATTTTATTTCTTAAAACAAGATAATATGTTTTGCTTATCTAGAAAATGCTTCTTGATTTAAGAATTTGTAGATATTTGGACTAGAAACAAAACAAAAAAAGAAAATCATTTTTAACAATATTGAGCTGTTAAAAGAGAGTGTTCTTTTTTCTGCTCTTCTCTCAGAGTGTTACGGACAGTTTTGGGGCAGCCGTGTCCTGTCTGAGCACATCCCATCTGACAGATGAAGTGATCCGAAGGAGCAAGCGGATGATTCTGGACACACTGGGAGTGGGTTTGATTGGAACCAGAACACCGGTCTTTAACACCGTGCTTCAGTGCAGCCAAGTGAGTGTGTGGTGTGGTGTTTGTGTTGAGCACACTGTTCGGTTCTACTGCTTTTATGTCTGACTCTGCTTTGATCATTTATGAATTAGAGGCAGCAAGCGCTGGAGAACAGCAAGGTCTGGGGAAGACCAGGATCATCTCTTCCACCTCAGTATGCTGCTTTTGTTAATGGTGTTGCGGTAAGTCTTTTGAAATTCACTGTAAATACATGAGTTGCTGACAGTATGTTAAACTCACTTCAAGTTACAGGTGAAATCTTGTTTAAGCCGAGTGTAACTTGCTAAAATTAGACAGTAACTTATTTTTTTATGTACATAATTTTTAATATCAGTTTGAAAATTAAAATGACTAGTAAAGTTGATGTTTTTTTGTTTTAGTTCAATCATATTAACTTTAAAGTCATTTTAACTTACATTAGATTAAACTGACTTAAAACAGCAAGTTAAATATAAGCCAAGACAGTACTGTATTTTTGTGTAACTTTATTAAAGTAGTTTCAGTTGAATTCTTAAGACTTTCACTTTTTTAAAAGGGATAGTTCACTCAAAAATGAAATTCTGTCATTTAATTTCTCTTGAACACAAAAGATGTTTTGAAGAACATTGGAAACTGATAACCATTTGCTTCCATAATATTAGTTTTTCCTACAATGTTAGTCAATTCATTATCTTTTGTGTTTATCAACAAAAAGAAGTGGTTAGGAACAAGTTGAGGGTGAGTAAATGATGTCAGCATTTGCACTTTTTGAAAAAGTGAACTTTAAAAGTTTAAAAAGTGAACTGAAATTTAAGTATAATGCAGTCTCTTTCTAATAAGGAATATGCATGAGTAGTTTGACAGTGTTTTTGGGATATATATTATAGGTGCACTCTATGGATTTTGATGACACCTGGCATCCAGCCACTCACCCGTCAGGCGCAGTGTTGCCAGCTCTCCTGGCACTGGCTGAAACACTGCCTGTTAAACCCTCTGGCCTGGAGCTACTGCTGGCTTTCAATGTGGGCATAGAGATTCAGGGGAGACTGCTGAGGTTTTCCAAAGAGGCACACAACATTCCCAAAAGGTAAAACAGATTTTCAAAAATGTTTTTGACCCCATTTATTTTGATCTAATCATGTAATCTTTTGGCTAGTAGAATTTAGTCGTGATGAAACTGAAACATGGTGTGCAGTATCTGTGGTATAATAAGAGTAATTGAAGAATTCAGATGCAAAAACGTGCCGTCTGAAATTTCTATCAAAAAAAAAAAAGTATCCTCCTATGTTTATGATGAGATATTTCACTTTAAAGACCAGGAAAAGGACTTATTATTTGCCATAAAAGTGATATTAATGAACAAACACACAGGAATCTGATAAAAATACTAATTTTAGAGGAAAATTTCAGACGGCATTTAGAGGTTTTTCTATCTGAACTCTTCAATTAGTAATTAAAATATTTTCAATTGTTTGTGAAAGTATCATGTAAGTAATTTTATTAAGAAAAACACAAAACATAACTCATAACATATTCAGAAATGCTTAACTAATAATTATTTAATGAATAATCAGTTACATAATACAAAATGTAATTAAACTACTATTGGGATTAAAGAGGTGTTTCCGGATGTTTTTGAAACACATTCAAAGCTTTGTATGCTCACGAAGGCTACATTGTTTTGATCAAAATAAAGCAAAATGTGAAATAATATTTCAGTTTAAAATATTGTATATTTCTAGTATTATATATTAAAATAAAATGTGTACAATATAACATTTAAATAAAGTGTCTTCCTGTATTGTAGCTTAACACTGAATTTTCAATAGTCATTAGTTTGTCAGTCTCTTGTTTTTTTTACTAATAATACCAATAAAACGGTTATACTACTAATTATATTTTCTATAATAATAATACATTTAATTTATAATAATAATTATATTTAATATTTATAAATATTATTTCAAATGTAAACATTTTAAGATTTTCATTATCATTGGTTAAAATTGTGGCACTGCATAAATAAAATTTGTAAGATTCATTGATGAATAAAAAATTTCAAAAGAACAACTTATTGGAAATATAAATATTCTGACAAAAGATATAACAAGCTTTAATATCAATGTTGGATCAATTTTACCCATTGCTAGCTGAATAAAAGTGTTACGTGTTACTTAAATTTTTAATGACTTTTAGTTTTAAAAAACTTGAATGTACATCAACTCATTTTCAATAATGTATATTAATCAAATAAGTCTTTAACATCTTTAAGTCATAAAATGCAAACACAATGTTTGTAGTGTAAATTCATGTGTACTGAAAAAAAAAATCCTGTTTAAAAAAAAAACTTTATCTACATGTGAATGAATGTGAATTTTAATATGTGGCGAGAGATTTCGAGGGTCTTTTTTTCATTGTCAATCACATTATAGGTGCCTGATCCCTCTTAAACTTATGATGTTGAAAATGCAACCCTGCAGATTTACAAAAAAACTATGAGCTGCCGGTACTTCATCTGCACATATGTATTAGAGTTGACCAGAATTCAGCTCTAATGAGAAACTTTATTGCGGCTTTTAATGATTTGCTTTCTGATTAGTTCGACATTGACAGATTGTTTTGTGTGTGTGTGTTTCAGATTTCACCCTCCTGCAGTTGTTGGTGTGATGGGCAGCGCAGCAGCGACAGCTAAACTCCTGCGTCTGCCGGCAGCTCAGAGTATCGCAGCTTTAGCAATCGCCTGCTCATCTGCAGGAGCCCCCATGGCCAACGCTGCCACCCAAACCAAACCCCTCCACATGGGCAATGCTGCCCGGGGCGGTTTAGAGGCATCTCAGCTCGCTCTTTTCGGCCTCGTGGGCAACACACACATTCTGGATCTTCCATCTGGCTTCGGGTCCTTCTATCCAGATTACGTCCCTCACCCGCTAGCCGAGGTCACCCCTAATTCTCACTACAGATGGGTGCTAGAAGAGCAGGACATCGCGCAAAAACGCTTCCCCGCTCACCTCGGCATGCACTGGGTAGCAGATGCAGCAATAGAAGCGAGGGCCAAATTTTTAGACAAACACCCCAATGCAGACCTCAGTCAAATCAAGAAGATCACTCTCAGAGTTCCCTCGTCCAGATATGTGGACTGTCCACTTCCGGTCACCGAACACCAGGCCAGACACTCTTTCCAGTTCAACTGTTGCACTGCGTTGCTGGACGGCGAAGTCAACGTTCAGTCCTTCAGCAGAGCTCAGATGAACAGAAGCGTCCTGAAAGAGCTGCTGCTGAAAGTAGAGCTGGAGAACCCGCAGGACAATCACTCCAGCTTTCAAAAGATGTATTGTGAAATCACTGTGTTGTCGACGCAAGGGGAAATGTTTACTGCACGCTGCGACACTTTTTACGGTCACTGGAGGAAACCGCTGAGTCAGGAGGACCTGCTGAAGAAGTTCAGGCTCAACGCTTCGTCCGTGCTGCCCAATGAGGTGCTGGAGGAAATCATTTATGCTGTAGATCATCTGGACACTAATCAAGACTGCTCCAAACTCTGGTCATACATGCACTTTAATAAGCACATGGTGCAGAGAGATGAGCGCCGCTGCTTTGCGTTGGCTTGAGTTGATGTTTGAGGCAACGTTCAGGCGGATTTTTGGAGATCAAAAGCTGTACTCATTTTGTTCTCATTTTAGAAGGATTTGTCAACACAGTTTTGAAGCAGTTTGTGGTAAATACATTTCTGCTGTAAAAATGTATTTATCTATAAATTTAGCTTAAAAATATGATGAAAATGTCCTTAGTACTGTTTGTTTTTTCTGATGAACACAAAAGAAAGTATTTTGAAGAATGTTGACAAACTGGTCAATGTCAGTGGCTTATAAGGCTGTTCAATTAATTACAATTTAATTTCTAGTTCAAGTTTGACCTTCAACAATTATGAAAAAAAAAATACAATAGAGATAAAATGATTATTACATAACATCTCTTCATTTCCAGCAACGCACGTTCATTTTCTCAGCAAATTGACCTGGATTTCACACAAAAATCTAAAATCATGTCACTTTTCTTTTGTTTTTCAGTTACCCATTCTGCTATGGTACTGATGATTGTTTCATGGTCTTTGAAATGTATTTACATTATTTAAACACAAAAATAAATAATGGTGATTACAATATTTACCAAAATAATTGTGGTTATGATTTTTCCCCATGATCGAGCAACACTAATGGCTACCAGTTTACAAAATATCTTTTGATTCTGAGGATGATTAAATTAACATTTTCGAGTAAACCATCTTCTTCAATCTTCAACCTTGCGTTATAATGGAAAATAAATGTTCAGAATCATTTGGAGATTGGCAAATATTTGTTTTTGGCTGTCTCTACTTGCATTTTAAGTGTATTTGACTGTCAAGATTTTGTTCAAAATATACAGCTTTAAGTTATAGCTCTATAAACTCATGACTTTCTGAATGAAAGGTTTTACACCATTTTGTTTTTAAATATTTTTGTTCAATTGCACCTTTGTTTTATATTCATTTACATACAGTAATAAAGTCACACTACCAAATGCTTAGTTTGTCTTTTTTCATTTTTTATTTTATGGTCTCATGATCACTAAGGCTGCGCTTCTTTAGTTGCAGTAACAACTGGACCGTCTAACGACACACTTTTCTCTTTTTTTATATATTTAAAAAAGTAATTCCTTTTTTATTTGTTATATAGATATAGAGTAGCAGTCAAAAGTCTGGGGTCAGTAGGATTTTTAAATGTTTTCAAATCAGCTTCTCCTGCTCACCAAGGCTGGATTTATATCATCAATACAGTACAAATGGTAAAATTGTGAATCGTTATTGCACTATAAAATAACTGTTCTAAAGTAGTTTATCATTTAATTTAATCATTTATTCCAGTGATTTTAATGAAGTTTCAGCTTCATTACTCTAGTCTTCAGAGTCACATGATCCTTCAGAAATCACTCTAATATTAATTATTATAATTATTAATGGTAGTAATAAAAGCAATGATGACTGAAGTAATAACTTTATTTGAAACTACATAGAGTAAGTTATTTAACATTTTAATAGATTTTTTTTAATTTTACATTTAGTAAATGCCACCTTAATTACCAGAATAATTTTCTTTAAAAAAAAAATGTGAAAATAAAACAGACCCCAAACTATAGAGCTATGGTGTATGTTATTATGATTTTTTTTGTCATTTATGTTGAAGCTAAACTTTCAGCATCATTCCTCCATTCTTCATTATAACACGATCCTTTCCAGAAAATCATTATAATATGCTGATTTGATGCTCAAGAAAAAGTCTTGTTATTATTAATATTATAAATGGCTAATAACAGTTCTGCTGCTGAGTATTATGGTAAAAATAATTTATTTCTAGATTCTTTGCTGAACAGAAAGTAGAAATAGCAATAGTCCTACATTTACAAGTGACTAGTCACTTTTAATCCATTTTATGAAACTTTTCTTAACATATGTTTAAAAAAAAAAAGCAATTGTGTACCTTGTCAATTTAATTTGTGCAACAAATACTATGTAGTAATTCTGCTCCTGTCTGTCTTTAGCAGACGAAAATAATCCTGCTAGGAAGATGCTCAGTTGTCAATAACATCAATTATTTAAAATGAAACGATCAGTAAATTTTTAATAAGGGTTGTACTCTTTATTCATTTCTATTAAGTTCTTAATGAGACATTTATGACACTTGGGTTGACTTTGACCTTCTATAGAAACATTAGACAAAATAAGACTTAGCAGGAATTCAGGCAAGCTTCAGCACCTCCTGCACCATCACTCCAATGCCATCATGTATTTCATGCAGTGGAGCGTTGCACATGAAAGCACAGGTGGTGACGATCTTATTTTTCTCATCAACATGAGCCTCATCCACATGCTTACATATGTGCTTGCAGCCCAGCTGAGTAATAGCTTCAGCTGTGTCCGGAACACCAGGATACCTGAAGACAAACCTTCCGTCAGTGGGACTCAAACTTAGGTCATATTGTGCAGAAAATTGTATAGGCAGATCTTCGCCTCTCTATTTATTTTTTCGTGTGCATTTCCAGAAATTTGCAAACATATTTTGCTGAAGGAGGACAAATAATTCCAATTGCAACTATACACTGGACAATAAAAATAAGATTTATAAATGTTGAGTTTTTGAAAAATATATACTGAATTCATTTTATTTTTTTTAAATCTATGAAATAATGTATATAACCGTTTCTGCCAGTTACGCTTGCTGTCAACTAGATGAGAAACAAAGTTTAAAACCACACTTAGATAAAACTAACAGTGCTGCCAGATGTAGCAGACTTTTACTAGCCCAAAAGCTGTCCAAAACCTGCCCAAACGCAAAAAACAAATGCCCAAAATTGTAGAATATTTAATTTTAATGTATTTTAAATGAACCTAGTTACTTTAACTGTCATCATTTGTAACAATACAGTAACCAACACCAGCAGTCACAGAACCACAACATAACCGGATCACATCAAAACACTGCCCCACTCTCACCCACACACTGCACTTTATTTTGTATACATTACACTACCTATTGGGATTATGTTTTACTTTCAAACATGGGTTATACATTCGTCCAATTTGGCGTTTTAAATGTTTTTGAACATAATTAGGTGCTGCTTATCAATCAGACCATGCTTCTATGTTTGTTCTTGCTGTTGATTATGAAAAAAAGTGTCATAATAAACCACTGTAAGTTTAACAGCAGGCTCAGCGTGGTGCGCGTGCACATGAAAGGGAGTCAGATGTGTCTGGGGAGTCAGATTTTGATATAATTTTCCTTCACCTCCTCTTGCGGGTGGGCCCACGCGGTTTACGCTATGCACTGGTCTGTACTAACCGAATGGAGTAGAAGCACACAATTGTTTTGTTAAATAAGTTGCATATAAAATTTACGTTGCAAAACCGGCCAAATTTTGACAACCCGCCTATGCCATTTTTTACCCGTAAAATCAAACTTAAAACCACCCAATCTGCCAACACTAAAAATAATACCATTAAAAAATATTTGTCACTTAAAATTTTATTAAAGTGGAAAACTGTCATTTATAATAGGTCTTAAATTATCAAATATATTTATTTGAGCTATCTGTAAATCTTATTTAGTTTAACTTGATTTATTAAAATAATTGTAAATAATAAAACCTATTTAGATATATTAAAATACTAAAGAAATAAAATCCATTTAAAGTCAGAAAAAAATAGTTAAAACTTCTAATAAAAAGAAAAACAAGTAAACCATATGACAACATGTAAATGATACTAAAGCACAAGTTTGTTTGCATTATTTGCTTGAAATTGAAGTATTTTGCAATATTATACATCTTTTTATTGTCATTTATTATACTAGATACCTTCTTTCTTCAGTAATGTATTCATTTCTTCAAAATCGACTCCACACCTCAAACAGTAACTCATATACAGACTGAAGTTATGACACAACATTAAATGCATTAAACAGAAGTTGCCGGTGTGCAAATGAGCTTTTTTGCGTGTAATGAAACTTCCCTTTTCAAACAAACCCTTCCCTCTTTTGCCGCTGGACACTCCCACCTAAACACAGCTGGACTTTTCTTACTTTTTTCAAACTGGAGGTGTGAAAACACCCGATTAAAGAGATTTCTCTGTGTTTATTGTTACCTCTCATCTGTGACATGACCAACGGTCACTTCACAGCCAGGGAAAACTTTGGCCGCCAGCACTGGTGAGATGCAGCACAGGCCGATGGGCTTCTTCTCAGCATGAAAGGCCTGAAGCACTGCTTTCACCTGATCATTGACTGAGCAGTCTTTGCCATCCACTGCCCAGCTGCACAAATTCTTGGCTGCTCCAAAACCACCTGCAAAACCATAGCAGATTTTAGATAAAAGGCCAATCTGAAGTGATGCTCGAATATTCTTCCTAAAGCAGCACAAATAAGAGCAGTTTGCTGACCAGGGAAGATGATGGCATCCAGATCCTTCACATTGAGCTGGCTGAGGTCTTCAATTTCACCCCGGGCCAGTCTGGCACTTTCCACAAGCACATTTCTCTTCTCCTCTGTTGGAGAGCCTTTCAGATGATCCACAACGTGCATTTGGTCAGTGTTGGGTGCAAACATCTTGACCTGTGGGAAGAGTTCATCTATTACTGAAGTCTTGTGAAAAAGAAACACACAAGACAATAAGACGATAACCAAAGCTAAAAATACACTCTGCTGTGCGATGTTTAATAATTGAAATGCATTGCTTGTGAAGATGTTATACAGAAAAGACAGCCTGTCCATTCATATACAGGTCTGTTTGACCTAGAAGAGAGACCTTGAAAAATCTTAAGAATGCATAGTGAGGGAAGAAAAAATCTCAATTGTATTTATGCATGCAAGTATGAATGAATGAATGAATTAATTAATTAATGTCCACAGTTTTGACCTGGAATTCATAAATCTTTAAAATACCTAGTTTTTTTAAGGAATGAACAAAACACAATTACTTTATTTTATTTTTATTTATTAAGCATATTTTTTAACTTCTAAAAAAATACAACTTTTGCTTTGTGTATTATTTTCAGTGTATTTATATTACAAAGTTCATCATCTTATCATTTGTACTGTAATATATACTCAGATTTTAACATTTCAAAAAGATGACTTTTTCTAATGAAAGATTTCTATGCTTTGTGATATTAAAATAATGGGGTAGATTCACAGGGACTTTTAATTTTCAGCCAGACAGCCTAAGCACTTCTGGTGAACTGTATTTCTATTATAAAACTGCCACGCTTAAGGTCTGATTTCTTTTAAAAAATCAGTGATCTTCTCTGCCTGTTAGATATATGATATGCAGTGAGTCTCAGACAGGACAAGAAGCATTGCATTGCATTAAATTCCATTTCCCCCCGCCATGTCTTTAAAATATGACTGTTTACTTTACCCCAGTATTTTCAATGGAGTTTCTTAGTTAGCCTGCTGATACTGACTGCGCTAGCGTTTACACGTCTTTCATCTTGTTTTAAGTTTGAACAACTAAATGAACGCTTAAGTTCATTTAACTGAATGTATTTTAATTACATTACAACATCGATGCTGTAAAAAGAGCCTTATGACATTGAAAATAGTCACATTAAGATCTCACCGGACATTTATTATTGACTGAAAAACACTAGCTGCGCATAGAGCTCATTGACAAACTATGGTAATTTGGTGAATACTTCAAACTGAAATAGAAACGAACATTGCTTGAAATTAAGAAAGAGTGAAAGAGGACACATTTCAGTTTTAATGTATCATGCAGGTTTCCTTAAAAATTTGAAAATAACTTTAATAATATTAATATTCTTTTGCAAACAGTATAAATAAATACATCCCTGCAAATAGCAGAAAATAACCTGCAGAAATTTTCTTGCAGGAAATGTAATTTTGAACGTTCATGGAAAATAACTTGTATCTTCAGAAAACTTATGATAAAAAGTGCAAAATAATAACTGGCATCTCCAGTGAAAAAATAAATATTCGAGTGTGTGTGTGTGTGTGTGTGTGTGTGTTGTTTTATTATGATAGAACTTTGGTGATGCATTCTGCTGTGGCGACCTTTTGTACACTGGGAAATTAGTCCACTAAACCAAAGTGAGAGATTGATGGTCAAAGCACATTTGTCTACAAACTTATTTGCGAAAGTAAAAATAAAGTACACGAGCGTTGGCCTTTGAATCACCGCTGTTCCCACCGGAAACAAAATCTCCATGACGCATCAGAGAGTCGCTTTCTCTTTAGAGAGACCGTGATGAGTTCATGGCGCCTCTCATGTGAACAAAAGCACTCACTGCCCTGTCACTAAGAGCTCAGTCTGCCCTACAGACGGTATAAAAAGGTCTCTCTACACGCAGAAGTATGTTTTAAAGGGATTTTATAGTATTAACAGGATTTTAGAAACGAATGAAGAAATTGCGTCAGTTATGAATTTTGCTTTCGCTTTCTTTTCGATTGATCGCCCAGTCCTATCTCAAAGGCGTATATACTGACACAAACCAATGTAACATTCAACAAACATCAATGAGAAGCTCCTGGTTAGGTTCTCTATGGTTTTAGTTGTAAAATATATCCATTTTATACAATAACGCTACACATTATGAATGTATATCGAGGGCAAGTAATTTCGGTTTTAAGTAGAATCAACCTAATAAGGTGTGTAGAAGTTATGCTCTGTTTATAGTCCTATAAACACAGTGAACACTAAAGCTGAGAGCCAGTGGTCCAAACAAACTTACAGTGGCTTGCTGACGGCTCAGATGAACCAGAACCGCAGACGCCTCATGGATTTCACTTCCATCAAACACTCCGCAGCCCGCCAGCACGACAGCTACACGCTTCCCCATGCTTTTAAACTGGAACCACGAACTCAACAAAATTGAAGTGAACTTGAAGGTTGCAATGCGAACTTCCGAGGTTCGTGAATGAACAGCGCCTCTACCCACAGCGGACGGAAGAGAGTCTGACACCGTCGACGTTACAACTCCTAAATGAATCCTTTAATCGAGTCATTTTAAATGAATCTTCTTAAACAAGTCTTTTGAACAGTCAAACGGTTCATTGTGAATAAATGAACAAATATTTGTGCAAATAAAGAACAAATAAATTGTTACATAAAATACTTTTAAGTAAAATAATATACATATATAAATCTTTAAAAACAAAAACAAAATAGATAAAAAATGTTTTAATTAATTAAAAAGAACTAGGGGTTTTCCTGTAGTTTATATTTTTCTATCAAAGATAGAAGACTAATTGCACTTTTTGTTTTCATTATCTTAAGGGATTTTATATAGGCAAGAATCTCATTATAAAAAGTACAAAAAAATTGGTTTCACCATCAAATATTTATTTATTTAGGTAAGTAAACTTTTCCAAGCAGTTGTTGATAAGGAAGGCATCGTCTTTACTGTCCAATACAGGACGTCATTCACATTAAAGATCCTTAGACGTGGAATCTTTGGGTAAAGCAAGTCATAAACGTCTGACCATAGCTTCCGTCCAGGAATAAAGCAAACAAACACATTCTTTCATAATTTGGCAGACTTAAACATATTTGTTTGAAATATTTACTGAAATAAAATATTTATAACCAAGGTGTTAATGTTAGTATTGTATTTACATATTTAAACTATATTTAGGTTTAAAATTACTTAATTAAATTAACATGTAATAACATGAAAATATAACAAACATAGCGCGATTATATTTATGCAAGAAAGAAAATTTACTAAGATACAGTATGACTCGTGGAAATGAATCAGATCGCTCGCTGTGGAACTTTTATTTTGAAATCAGTCTTTTTACCAAACGGTGTCGTTTCCTTTTCCTAGCAACACATTTGACATACATGTATGGGCTGTAGTTTATTTAGATGTGGTGATACGTTTATTGATTACCATATCACAAGAACGTGGCTATGAAAGTCAGTTGCATTAAATTCCTTGATGCATTTGCGGTCATTGTGTAGTTTACTCAGAGTATTATACTGGGCATGAGTAAGTCATTCTAGCTAGCTTGCTAGCTAATAACCTTCCAAGGCAGCAGCATCAAACAGTCGTGTAACGATGGCAGGACTGTATCGAGCTCTTCTGACATCTGCCTCCAATGTTTCAAAGGTGAGCTATTTTCACATATCAGCATCGTCGGTAAACAATAATAACTGATTTTAATTGTTCAACCTTTTAAAACTAATTGCAGAATTTGACACAAGTCTCTCCATGTCGAACTAAATTCACGAAGAGTCGCATCTCTCCACAGGTTTGTGGCTGGTAAACTGCAAATATAGTTTTATTGTTTTCAACCCACTAAACGTAATAACATCACCGCATATTCGCCCCTCAGGTGTTTGAGGAGCGAGCCAAAGAGCATGACAAGTATGGGGGAGACCCAGAGCAGCCACATAAACTGCATATAGTGACACGGGTGAAGAGCACGATGAGACGGCCATACTGGGAAAAGAAAGTGGTGAAGAGTTTGGGGCTCATGAAGGTGGGACGCTATCTTCATTTGTTTGAAAAGGATTACAGTTTTCGAAACATTATAATTTTATAAATTCTTTATTGATTTTCATCACCAGTCACATGAGCCCCGTGTCCACAAGAACACCCCCTCAGTGAACAATCTACTCAAAATCATCAAGCATCTGGTTAGGTACGTTAGAATTTTGCAATTCTTGACACTTTGAAAACTGTTGACAATAAACATGGCCATTTAAACAATCTCTATAACTGCAGGATTGAGCCACTCAAGCTTCCTCATGGATTACCGGCTGAAGAAGACATGGCCAACACACATCTGAACAGCAGAGGAGAGCTGGTGGTCAAACGTCTCCTCAAACCACTGGAGAAAAAGGCCATTGAGTCATAGAACATTGATCTGACCTACTGTCTGCATGTGTATCTTTCTACTTGTTTAATAAAGATTAAAAAAAAAACTAGATCTTTCTCATAAATAGTTAATGTCCATTTGTAACAGCAGTCATTAATATCACCTATTGATATAGTGACATTAATATCACTAGTTAAATCACTGTTACATTCAAAGAGACAATCTTTACACAGAGGAACAGAACACACATATTAAATATTTTTTTTATTAAGTCCTGTACTGCTAGCAAAAGAAAAATCCTCCTCTTCCTTCACATCAATGGGAGAAAGGGGTGTTGATTCTTACTGAAATGCAGAAATTTGCTTCCTTGGCACTTGTTTGCTGTTCACTGAACTGAGCATCAGTTTGTCAGAGGCAAAAATATGGATGTTTGTGTTTGCACCATCATTGAAATGTCAGCTTACAGTTCCATCCTTTAGAAACTTCACCTTCATTATTAAATAAATCAGAGACTGACTCTTCACTAGTTATGCTCAACAGAAAGAGCACACTTCCGGACAGTAAACTTAAAGGGATAACAAAAAGTAGTGATATACTATCAGTGAATGCTTGGTCATCATGAAATGATCAAATAAAGAGTAAAGGTCAAAGACAGGAAATTAAACAGACACTGTGGTGTTACACAAATTAAAAACACAGTGTCACAAGACTTAGGACTGTTATGTAGGAAGCCCTGAGAAAGACGGAGCTTGATGTTTTAGTCCTCTAATCTTCATCAGATTCAGAGTCCGAGTCATAGGCTTTCCCTCTGATGGTCTTTTTCTCCACTTTGGTGAACTTTGACCCTGTCTTCTGTCCAACTGTTGGCGGCTCCAGAAGATTCCCACTAGGAGGAGAAAAGATTCACACATACAAGTGTTTTCTAACTTCTTATTCATCAAATAAAGATTATATTGATTAGTAGTGATTATAAAGACATTTAAATGCCAGCAATACAAGGGACTACACTCACTGCCACTTTATTAGGTACAACTGTCCAACTTCTCGTTAATGCAAATTTCTAATCAGCCAATCACATGGCAGCAACTCGATGCATTTAGGCATGTAGACATGGGGTCCGTTCTTCGTATGTGGATTACTCAGTTAGCTGGATTTGGATATTGACGATTTGACACGATCCAGGATCGTTTCGTTCTTCAAAGCAGATCCGAGAGTTGTTGTCATGGCAACAGATCTGCTAGGTCAAACCTGATCGGGAGCAGGTTCAATTCATATAAACAGGATTAGATCGGCTCAGTTCAAGCAAAGATAATATAAAGTATGTACCGAATTCTGATATTTTCTTACAGTAGTAGTTATATACACTTGGGAAAATAGTAAATATTTTTTAACTATATATAAATAAAGTTACAGTTATTAATAAAATAAATAAAGTTATACATAATAAAACTTATGAAATCTGCACGCTCGAAATGAAAGTACAAAGACAAGGTGCAAAGAGAACACTTATTGATATGAACTTTTTAGATCGCTTTAGTACAAATTGTGTATAATAAAAATGCAGAATATGTGACTTTTTTTTTAAAGCAATAATACATTTATGCAGTCATAAACAAGTTTTGACAGTTAATATGCCAGTGATTTGATGCTTCGCAAAAGTTGTAGAAGCCTTTACCAATATCAAAATGCTTTTGTAAACAACCAGTTATTCATTACACCGATTAAAAAACGGCTACTATTATAAAGAAAATCTTTTCTAAATGTAGAACTAAATACATTGATTTGCATTGAAATACATGATGAATACACTTCACACATGAAAGTGTAAAGCCTGCAGCTCACAACAAATGTGAAGTTACTGCGTGTCATATTTAACAAACCGTTTACTGCTAATTTGATGTAATTTTGCTCACATGGATAATTGAATATTAATCAGATGATGTCATTACGCTGCTGTGCCGTCAGCCAATCGTTGCATTGCTGATCATGATTTCGAGGATCGATAGATCTGTCCTTCACAACACACGCAGCGATCTCAGATCAGTTTATCCAGACATTCTAATCTGATTCGCGAACTTGTTTGAAGAACCAAATTAGCGAGAGATCAGTTATCAAGATTAAAAGATCCAGGATCTGACAAATCATCTTAGATTATTTAAGCGAGGTACGAAGAACTGACTCATGGTTAAGATGATCTGCTGCAATTCATAGCATCACAGTGGGGAAGACAGGTGAATTTGAGCATGGCATGGTTGTTTGTGCCAGACATGCTGGTCTTGAGTATTTTAGAAACAGCTAATCTACCTGGATTTTCACACACAACCATCTCTAGGGTTTACAGAGAATGGTCAGAAAATATCCAGTGAGCGGCAATTCTGTGGGCGCAAATGCCTTGTTGATGTCAGAGGAGAATGGCCAGACTGGTTTGAGCTGATAGAAAAGCAACAGTTGCTCAAATAACCACTCGATATTAGGCATGTAGACGAGCATAACGCATGACACGTCCAGTCTTAAGGCGGATGGGCTACAGCAGCAGAAAACCACACAGGTGCCACTCCTTTTAGCTAAGAACAGGAAACTGAGGCTACATTTGGAACAGGCTCACCAAAATTGGACAATAGAAGACTGGAAAAACATTGCCTGGTCTGACAAGTCTCGATTTCTGCTGCCACATTCAGATTGTAGGGTCAGATTTTGGCATCAACAACATGAACGCATTGATCCATCCTGCCTTGTATCAATGGTTCAGGTTGATGGCGATGGTGTAATGGTGTGGAGGATATTTTCTTGGCACACTTTGGGCCTATTAGTACCAACTGAACATCGTGTCAACACCACAGACTACCTGAGTATTGTTACTTGCTGACCATGTCCATCCCTTTATGACCACAGTGTACCCATCTTCTGATGGCTACTTCCAGCATGATACCACACCATGTCATAAAGTGCGAATCATCGGAGACTGGTTTCTTGAACATGACAATGAGTTCACTGTACTCAAATGGCCTTCGTAGTCACCAGATCTCAATCCAATAGAGCACATTTGGGATGTGGTGGAACAGGAGATTTTCATCATGGATGTGCAGACGACAAATCTGGAGCAACTGTGTGATGCTATCATGTCAATATGGACCAAAATCTCTA